ACTAGTCGTCAGAATTACCAGTTCTTGGGAGAGCTTCACACGCTGCCGCTCAGCGCATACTTTCTCCTGGTTGCAGCTTGCTATTTTCTGGTAACTGTTTCTGCATCCATCCACGTAGGTGCCTGTAGAGCCCCTTCATAGAAACTCACACAGAATGGGCCTTTGTGACATAACTGGCCCGAGAGTTTAAATATTGTTGTATTACTTTTGTTGCTATTTTTTGGTAGCCTCCTCTGCTAGCTAGGCGGGAAGTTGCTTGAGGACCTCTTCACAGTGCCCCTTTGCATGGTACAGAGGCGTCTTCTTGCAGCGCTGCTGACTGCCATAGCTGAGCAGGACAAGTGGTTACCAGTGAAGTGGAACCTGTAGAAAATTTTGAGGCAGCAATTAACCATGTTTCTTGCTATTAATTTCCAAAATCAGTTTAGCACTTGTGCCTTCATACGTTATGTTTGAGTTGTCTGAAACCTGTAGCCTGTTCCAAAGTTTCCAGGGTCTTTGGTTTTAGTTTCTGGTTTCTTTCCTTCTTTGAGAGATTCGGATACCCCTTATCGTGACAGCTACTCTTTGCTGTCTAATTTGTGCTATGGCTGGTGAGCTGAGTCCCATTACTGGTGCCTGCTTCATGAGATGTGGTTTAAAACTGCTGTTTAGCACACACCCCTCTGTGGCTTATAGTTAATCTTTGAATTTAGGAGATACTACATGTTTGTAGTAGCTTGAAACTCTTAGCTGTCTTAAAGTTGAAAATAAGTACCTGAATTTGAGCTGTTAGGTTGATATGCCCAGCACTTTGTAAATTCCAGTATTGTTAATAGCATTGACCTCTACTTCAGAGAGATCTGGGATTTGGGAAGGAGGTGGGGAACGTGAAGGTGCTCATCTGTCCATCCCTCCCTCCCTCCTTTCCTTCCCTCCTCAGCAGTTAGTGCCCCTCTTGTAGAAAATGCTGTAGACATACCGTGCAGCGCACAGGCGTGGAAACAGTAATGTCTCTGACTAGATTAAATGCATGTGAGGTCATGAGAAAGAGGAGGTGCTAAGCTGGAAATGCAGTCAGCAGAACCAGGCAATCTTTCTTGCTTTTTCAGCGTTACTATCATGGTATCTCACAGGCAAAGGCTGATTAGATAAGATCCTGTATTACTGTTATTGGGAACTTCTTTCAAAACATCACGCCTTTTGACAGTTAGAAGCTGTTATTAATTTCCAGCCTAAATGATCTGTTTCGGTAGCCATTCTTTCATGTGATAAACCTTATTCTTTAACTTATACACTGGGAAGAGGAGAACTATTTAACTCTGCATGTATTTTATGTACAGCACCCTTCATTTGACTAAGCTAAACCAGCCACCTTCTCTAGTGCTCTGACTCAGAGCAGACTGGCAGATTGTAATCAGTCGTCTGCCCTGTCCCTCACAGATGTTCTTGCCCCGACTCTACAGGGCTGAGCCACCGCAAACAGCAGCCTGACATGCAGTTAGCACTGGTTTACCTTAATATCCTGAGCTGCGAAGAGTGGAGGAGTTCAGCAGCACTCTGCCTACAGCTGAACCACTTGTGCGAAGGCGATGGGGCACGAGTAACCACATCTCACCGTAACTGCCTCCTCCTCTGAGTCTGAGGCTGTGGGCCCTCCATGAACCCCATCATCCTGTCCTACCTGTTGAATTGGCACAGGGAAAATCTCTTGTACTAGTTGATGTAGGAGATTTCTGCTCACTCTTCAGATTAGGTGATATGGTGCACCCTGATAAACCAAAGTTTTGAGGTACGAGCTCCACTTGTTGACCTGAAGAAGAGGCAAAGCAGTTTTTTATTCTGATACACCCTAAGAGTAGAAGGCAGAAGAGCAGCTGAAGTTCACTTTTAGAGGCTTGTTTATTAGGGGTCTATTTAAGAAAGTGTAGAGAGAAATCAAGAGAAAGTTCAGCGTTATCCTTAAAGGAAATACTGGATCTAGTGTGGCCATTTATGTAATTAATTGTAAAAGTAGGGCAGTACACTTGCAACAACTTCTAAGCTGAAATTTGTGTATAGGAAAGAAACAATTACAAATGTGTTTCTTACCAACTGGGAGATCCTAATTAGCTTTTCTAGTTAAAAAAAAAAGACAGAAAATTACATTAGAAATACCAGTTTTATCTGATTTTGATAAGTTTTTTCATCTTCTGAAACCACCTTAACACTAGCATTCTTTATATAAGGTTTAAAAAGAACTCTCAACTATATATATGCTAAGACTGGAAAGTTAGGTTTTAAATACCTGGGGACTTCTATGGTCATCGATGCCGTGCTTAGTCTTTGTTCTGCCCCTCTGTCCATATGTATTTTGATAGTTGTCAACTACATGAATCTGTAACTCATTTTTTTTTATACAATTGTGTTTCATTTAGTGTTTACGTGGGATGAGCCTCAAAGTCCTTAAAGCCAAAACATAATGTTTTATTTTTTCTCTCCTTCCTCAGAATATTAAATGTTTTTCGTCACTGGGTAGAGCACCATTTTTACGATTTTGAAAGAGATCTGGAGTTACTAGAGAGATTGGAGACGTTTATTTCCAGTGTAAGAGGTATGGTAATTGATGGTCCTGTTGTTCTTCCACATTTTGGTACATCCTGCTGGTCTAATCCTGACAGGTTTTAGGCGTGAGAATATCTTTACACACATGAGTAATTTTAATGCCTTTAATTGAGCTGTTCATGAGCCTCTCCTTTACAAGAGCAAGCTTTCGCCTGGAGCCTAAACAGCTACCAAAAATGACTTCAAGCATTATGGTATTTACCGTAAGCGTATTTACTTCTGGACAGTAATGTTGATCCTCGCCTGACTCTACAATAGACTTGTTAGAATTCAGACTGTCACTTTCCTCCTCCCCACATTGTATTCGTAGAGAATTCCTTCCATGTTGGTTATTGAGACTGGTTTGTTCTAGCTTACTCTTTTCCCATTTATTGAAAGTTCTAGCTGGAAATCATTGTCCTTTTAGGAGAGGGTACCTGACCCATTTGGTATCGCTTCCTCTGGAGCAATCCCTTATGAACTAGCAGCCTATGTGGAAGACAACAGTGTTGGCATGTCAATTTTAATCATTATCCTGGCAATTGTAGACTTTACTTTTCAGATTGCCAGACCATACATTGGGCAATATAATTCTGAAACAAACTTAGAGAACGGTAGTTTATCTTTTGCAGAGGTCTCCATGCTAACTGTTGCTGACCAGAGAGGAATAATTCCATTTTGGTTTTCCTCTTAAAAGTTACTTGTCTTGAACTGCTGAAGGTACTTCCCATCTTGTCCACTATTTTGTGTACTGTAAATGTTGGACTGTTATTTTAAATGTGTATTTCTCTAACCTTTTTAATCTGCAGTGCGCTAGTACAGCATGTTGCAAAGATCTCACTTGAAGCTTCTTGTTTACTTTTTTAGTTCTTCTCTAAGTAGATGAAGCTGGCAGTGAAAGTGGAGGTGGTTGCAGCTGAGGGGAAAAAGTAAAATACAGTGTATACGGGGTCACTTTTTTCCACTCAGAAACTGTCAGTAAATGTGGTTAAATGCAACTGGGCACCCAAAAATTTGTTCACATGTGTCTGTATTTGCCAACTGATACAGGTGCAAGAACCCATAAGAAAAAAAAATAGAGAACTACAAACCTAATTAATTTGCATGCAGAAATGCAGAATTCTGAGTGCATGTACAATTGGGGGGGGATTGCTTTCATTAAAAGTCATTTAAGGTGATATTAAAAAAGGGGAGGGTTTTAGTGGTTTCTGTTTTGCAGGAAAATCCATGAAGAAGTGGGTGGAGTCAATTGCTAAAATCATCAAGAGAAAGAAAGCTCAAGCAAATGGAATTAGCCACAACATCACCTTTGAAAGCCCACCTCCCCCAATCGAGTGGCACATTTGGCGTGTTGGGCACAGTGAAACGCTGGACCTCATGACTCTGCATCCTATAGAAATTGCTCGACAGCTGACACTTCTCGAGTCCGACCTTTATAGGTAGGGATTGAACTAATACGTGTCTTTTTTAGGTTATTTGAGCAAGAAAGAGTTCTAATTCCTAGAATTAGTCAAAAGTATGTCCCCTAGACTTCCAGAGTTTTTGGAAAGAGGTTTTCTTACCATCTGTTCGAATATCAAAATATGCAAGGGGAAAAAAAAAGTTTTTTAATCTCCATGTCAGACTTCTGACAACATAAATAGGTACAGGAAGGACACTAAAATATTAGGAGTAGATAATACTAACTTGTACTGTCTCCTTGTTAAAAGCAAACTTAGTGTTACATTAGTAAGAAATGTTTGTTGCATCATAAAATGAGAACACAATTGTCTCTGCTCCTTTTCTTTATAGCTGCCCAGCAAATATGCATATAACCATAGCACTGGTACGTTAAAGTCCTCTAATCTAATTCTGAAGAGTTTTTTTTGGTCTGGTACCATAAGTACTCTGCTGTTTCCTAGCTCCGTTGTTACCTGTGATAAATAGAGCTGTCTTCATGTGAGAGAGAGGTTTTGCTGGGTAGAAATTCTTTGAAGTCTTATAAAACTTGAAGGTAAAACATCCTTTCATGCTTCAGTGATAGCAGGTTTTCTATTGAAATAGGCCACTTTTGCAGTAGATTGCTGAAAGTACTTCAGCTTCCTATTTAAAAAAAAAAAAATGGTAACTATCTTTAAGTTGCTTTCTTATGCTTTCAGGAAATTAAACTTACTCCTTTGTAATTTTCTTATCTGAAAATGCTTATTCCAAAATGCCGGTTTCAATTAAGATAGAAGTGCATTTCTTTCAATACTCAAATACTCATCAAAAAGTTATTTTAAGTAACTGTTTTGCAGTAGATTAGATTGGATTTGTGAAATAGCAAGTCACAATTAAGGGAAGAAATAATCTTTTAATGCAAACACTGAACATAAAATTATTATTTGTATTGAGCATTCTTCTACATCTTGCTTTGTCATTATCAGGGCAGTGCAGCCTTCTGAACTTGTTGGTAGTGTGTGGACTAAAGAAGATAAGGAAATTAACTCCCCAAATCTATTGAAAATGATTCGTCATACTACAAATCTTACTCTTTGGTTTGAAAAGTAAGTACAGGTGATGGTAGTGTGGCAGTATTAACTCCTACTGAAATTGAGAAACATTTTTCTGCGATTTGGATTCTGTTGCCTTGAATCTGGAGATAGCTGTAGAGTATTACAGTAATCTCAGGTTTTGGTTCAAGGGTGCATGCCATGCCCATCACATATGTTTCCTCTTCCTGAGACTGGAAGATCTATTTTTTTTTCCAGTTATGTCCACTTGGTCAGCACGGGTCCTTCTTACATTTGTACAGTACATCGAAAGGGGTTGAAGGCAGTGCAGGACTCAGCACTGCTTTTCTACATCTCTGATGAAAGCACCGATGTGTCTGTCCCCTTACCTTAGCGTCCCTCCTTTCTCGAGTGAGATGGTTAAGTACTTCGGAGGACACGGCCAGTGCTGCAGTCAGAAGGGTGTAGCAGTTTGTATGTGTGTCTCTAACCTAGCGAGTTTAAAATGCCACTGTACATAAGAGTCGCCCTGCTTACCCTGGATCTTGCTTGGGGTTTGCTTTATTATTTGACAGGATATGCCAAAACCTTTCTGGGCTTTCCAGCTTGAACATATGTAAGATGTGATTACATAAATTTGTACTTGAGATTCTTGAAAGAGAGCCAAAATGTGCATACTGGATGTACTGTAAGGGTTTTGCTTGGAAAAATTTGATTTAGTAGCTAGCAAAATATCAGGTTTTATTTATCAGTGTTTCTCAAATTGTGTCTTTTGATTAGGTGCATAGTGGAAACTGAGAACTTTGAAGAGCGAGTGGCTGTGCTGAGTAGGATTATAGAAATCCTGCAGGTTTTTCAAGATCTGAATAATTTCAATGGTGTTTTGGAGATCGTCAGTGCAGTGAACTCTGTGTCAGTGTACAGACTAGATCACACGTTTGAGGTAAGTTTTGAGCATTGCTTTTGGGAAAAAAAAAAAAGTCAGAATCCAGAAATTCATCACACGCACTTCTGAAGTGAAATCCATAGTATCCCTGTGACACTTGCTTTCATGGAAGAAAACAAGTGTGAAATGTGCAGAGTTATTTGTGAGAAAACATATGAGATGGCCTGGGTGTCTCAAAGGGTTTGTAATGGGAAGTGGAGCTTTTCAGCAGGTGTTTTCTCACATGTATTCAGCCCGAAAAGGGGAAACGCCATGGCCATTCAATTGTTTTTCATTAACCTGTCTGAAATGAACCTCTTGCTTCAGTCCAGCATTTTATGGGTGTGAAAGAGGAGGATCCCGGGGCTGAGAACTCTGGAGTGGAACACTTTAACAGAGCATTTCCTACCTACCCAAGAAATGTGGGGGTGGAAGGGCATGGGGAGGGGGTAGCTAAAACTCAGATTTCAGTTGATCACAAGAACTTTTCTTGCATGAGAGAGTCTCAGAAAATTCAGACTGTCAGAGGCAGAAACAAATAGCTGCTGAAATGGGTTAGATGGACAGTAGGCAGAGGGGCTACTACACAAGTAGTGATTCCATTTTTCACTCACCAAGGAAAAGAAATGCATAGGATTTCGCAGCAAATGTCCCTTGATTAAAACAGAAAAAGAAGCATGAATAAAATGTAATCTGAGTTTCAGTTCCTAAGTTTTGCTAAGGGAGCTGGGGAATTGCCTTGGTTTTGCTAACCATGCTATTGAGAAGATTTGGATCCCTGTTTTTTTTCTTTGACAACTTAGGCACTACAGGAAAGAAAAAAAAGAGTTTTGGATGAAGCAGTAGAATTAAGTCAAGATCATTTTAAAAAGTATCTAGCTAAGCTCAAGTCAATCAATCCACCCTGTGTGCCTTTCTTTGGTAAGTAACACCAGGGCAGGCTAATATTGTGTGTATTGTTATTCTTACGTTGAGTTTGATGCAGATGTGTTAATATTGTTGTGTTTAGCTAAAAAAAAAAATCTGTAATATAGTGTGTGACTTTTGACTTCCTAGCTTTGTAATGTTTTTAGACTTCATAGAATGGGTTGGGTTGGAAGGGACCTTGAAGATCGTCTAGTTCCAACCTCCCTGCCATGGGCAGGGGCACTTTCCACTGGATCAGGTAAAAGATGTTGCATCTTTTATATAAAATTTATTTTTCTCATTTAGTATACAGATTACTGGTATTACACTGGTATGACTGTTGCCTTACTTCGTTTAACGCTGCCCCAACGTTGCTGATCTGTTTATGGTGATGACCTGAAGATGGTTTTTGCTAAACTCAAGATCTCATGTGAAGGAGATAAAACATCTTATTTCAATAATATACTGTTCCTATGTAAAATGCAGACTTGATTCATTCTTGCCAGCTAATAAACTGTTGGAGCATTAAAGGGAATGGTCTACCTATGCTCAGACTTTTTTGTCATTCATTAAAAAGAATGAAATCAGCTCTTGGAATGAAAATGAAATTCAAAAAATACTTCTCTCTTTATCAGGAATATACCTAACAAATATTTTGAAGACAGAAGAAGGGAATCCTGACTTCCTTAAAAGACAAGGGAAAGAATTAATTAACTTCAGTAAGAGGAGGAAAGTGGCTGAAATTACAGGAGAAATTCAGCAGTATCAAAACCAGCCTTACTGTTTACGGATAGAGCCAGAAATTCGGGTAATCAAACATTAAATATCTGGTTGGGGGCAGGAGAGGGAAAAGGAACACACACAAGAAAACATTGCCAGATAATCTTCTAGTACTAGACCTAATCTTGTGTGAACAGTGACGATCAGAAATGGGGGGAACAGTGGGTGGTAGACAATGAAGTACCACTGCGAAGGACTAGCCAGAAGTGGGGACTGGCTTACTTGGATTCCATATTCTGGGTCTTGTTCATCCCCTTACTGTTCTGCAGCCTGGTATCAGAGAGATTTTTTAGCAGCGAAACAGAAAGAATAAGACTTACTGACCAAACAGCAGAACTTTTTGGAGAAAAATTGCTTGCCTTTTACCTCAAATGCTCTGTGTGTGCCTAGTGCGTTTAGTCCTTCAGCCATTCTGTAAGGACACCTCTGACCAAAGTCGACTGACCCCCCTAACAGAGAGCATGTAGTTCAGCACAAATACATACAGTCCTTCATTGTGGCAGAAGCTAAGCAAATGTGGGTACGCACCAGGGTCAGCCAGCATTATCCTCAAAAATGAGGACGCTGGATTGCTTACTTACCTAAGACAAAGACTAGTGAATCCCAGGGAATGTAAAGGAAGATGCTGAAACAACAACAAGCCAGGTAAGGATAGGTAGGTGGTTTTATATGGAGGTAATAATAGTTGAAAAGAATACCTTTAAGTACCCAGCCATACTTCCTAAGTGCCCAGCTAATTGTAATGTTTCCAAAAAATGACTGCGTGGACAGCTCAGTCTCAGCTAGTGAACAGCAGCAGGCAGTACGCAACAAAGAAGTTCGTTACAGGAAGAATTAAATGGGTGGTGATAGTGCTGTTTAAAATGGTATTTGCATTGTGTGTTTAATTGCTGTGGACATGTCTGGGAAGAGTTTAGGAGATTTACAGTATTCATAAGGCATGAAGTACCTTAAGTTCAAGGGATGGCAGTATTTGTGCTGCAGAAAGAACAAATGGAGAATGCTGTAGCTCACCACCCAGAGACGCCAGCAGGATCAGCTGACGCAGGACTGTCAGGCCTTCAGGGAGCTTTGTCCTCTCCCATGCCCCTGGTGCCAGTCCTGCCCTAGCCATGCCTTCCCTCCAGTCCTTGTGCCGTAGCACCATACTCTGTCCCTGCCTCTCACCTTCCTGCCTTTGTCCTCTGTCCCTTCCTGTTCTCTGTAGTTGATTGATCACGTCCACGTGCTGTATCGTCTCTATTCCGCTCCTTCCCAGATCTGTGATGTTAAGGCAAGTGTACAGGACACTGTTGCATTGCCCTTAACACTGCTGTGCTGTGCATGATTCATCAGTCAAAAATATTATCAAACAGTTTACAGAACACTTAATTTACCATGCCTAGTTATTTGGTGCAAGGTCATTCTTTCATGTCAGAAAACTTACCCTGAACTTGATTGTTTCTTTCATTGGATTGTTTTGTATTTACTCTGTTCTTCCTGGAAGTAAGCTTCACACTAGTGACAAGCTAGCTTTTTAATGAGTGAATTACGAGCATTTCATTAAAATTCTGTGATTACGCTTATTTTTTTAAATACTATTGATGCTTGTTTCATTTAGAAATTCTTTGAAAATCTCAATCCTATGGGGAAGATACCAGAAAAAGAGTTTACAGATTATCTGTTCAACAAGTCATTAGAAATTGAACCTCGAAACTGCAAGCAACCGCCTAGATTTGTAAGTCTTGTCCTGAAAATTAAATAACTAAAATCCAGTAGCCACTATGAAAAAGAATACGTAGTTAACTCAATAAACCATATATATTTCCTACAGAATTCTGTATCATGAGATGATTTTCCAGCAAAACTGGATTTAAAAATACTTCTATTTCAGATGTTTGTTGCTACTAAAACATACTACCTTTGGCTTATTTTAGAATGAACATTTTTTTCCCCAAAGCCTAAAATAGTACCCTTTAAATTTGGGTGTCTTACCCTATAGTCATTTGATAGAATATGTAATAACATTTCTCATTTCACAGTAAGAAAGCTTACAAAATATTAATATTAATTGAAATACATATTTTATACATAATTAATGTGTTACGTTTTCTTTAAGTAGAAGTTAATTTCTATTTTTCTCTTCTCTAAATATTCTGCATTGTTGCAACAATTGAAGAATTGACAAGATGCAACCTTCTTACCAAACAAAATATAGTTCAATTCAAAGGAGTCGCAATTTGGGGTTTTAAAGAATAGCTAATGGAGCCCAGGGTTCTTTTTTAAGCAGAAAGATCTCTCTCTAGAACACTTGATTTTTATACGTTGTAATTGTACTTCTAAGTAGCTGGAGGCATCTCTAATTCTTGGGAGGGCTAGAAATCATTTAAACAATCTCCCATTAGAGGAATGAGTAAGATGATATTACAAATATGGCAAGAAAACGACAGAAACTACTGTTGCAAAAATACTGCTTACAGTAATTTCTGTAAAATACTTTCTAAAAATAGATATCCATGCTGCCAGTCTGAGTCAACTGGGCATGAATTCTTTACAGTTCATGATTTCCAAACGAGACATTCTTATTGGAATTTCAGGAAAGTCCAGTTCTGGGTACTGTAATGTGGTGGAGTCATGCATACAACCATACAATGGGAACGTAATTCATCTTCAAAGAATGGGCTTTGATCTGTGCTGTGTTACACCTGAGTCTAACAAGGCTTGTTTCATTCGCACCAGTGACATGCGTGTAAGACTTTTGTCCTGACTACCCAGAGGACGTAAACAACGTGCGTCTTGAGTGTGTCCTTGATCTTGGATGTGTGTAAGGGCCTGGTGACCTTCTGTGGTACAAGCACAAACCATGTCTTATGGTGCTGTTAGGAGGTTCTTCTGCAGGCCCACGGGGACACTCAAAATAACTCACTCTCTCCCAAGGTTGTGGCTCGCCCTTCCCTGTGTTTTGTCCTGATTGGCACGCATCTGAAACTTGACACTTCATTCTTCGTAGCTGTGAAAAAAGACGTGAAAATTATTAAGTTGGGAAAAAACAATTTATTAAGCTGCATCCATAACTTTTCAGTAAACTCTTAACTGTATAAATAACAATAAACTGTACCTCGAGTCAATTGTAGAAAGTACTGTACTGCTTTTTAAGGTGTATTTGATAAGTACTTTTTTAAATGTCTCAGAGAGACTTGGCAATTTTGCTATCTGAAGTGTTAGCAGTACTAACCAGCTTTACTTTCTCCAGCCTAGAAAAACAACATACCCCCTGAAATCTCCCGGGATAAGGCCCAATACCGGCAGACATGGCTCCACCTCTGGCACCTTGAGAAGTCATCCATTGCCACTTGAAAAGGAACCAAGTAAGATAAGTTTCAGTAGAATCACTGAGACAGAGCATGAATCAACAGTATCGGCACCAACTTCTCCGAACACACCGTCTACACCGCCGGTGTCTGCTTCTTCAGAGTTCAGTGTGTTCTTAGACATTGATCTCAACAGTTCCTATGGTAAATGTGCAATATGTTTTAATAATTGTTGTTACTGTCCCTCGGGCTTCCAAAATGTATTGGTGCATATGCCAGCCTTTTAAAAAAAAAAAAAATGTAGTTGTGGACTATGAAGTTCTTGTGTCAGTGTTACATGTACTGCTGTTTGGAAATCCCTGCTGTAAGTAGTTAAATAACAAGTGACGTTTCCGGTCTTTTTGCCTACTGGGGCTGAGGCAATCTGTTATGGGA